AAAATAAGAAATGAAATAAAAAAGTATGAACACCCAAGAAAAAATAGCTACTAAAAGAGGAAAATAAAAAATAAAAAAAAGGCTAAACTAAAAAAAGAAATAAATGAAGAAAAATAAAAAAACTAGCTAAAATTAGAAAAAGAGAAATAATATAAAAACAATTCAAGAAAAAGAAATATAAATAAGATAAAAATAAAAAACTATAAGAGAAGAAAAAGAAATAAAAAAATTAAATTAAATTAAAAACGGTTAAATTAAAACGTAAATTAAATAAAGAGGACTGAAAGAAAAGTAAAGTTGGTGATAAAATTAAAAAGCAAATCAGGGTGAAAATCGATTTAAAGGGGCAAAATAAACTTTGAAAGAAAAGTGAATGACCAAAATCAAGATTAAGCCCTTTCATACGAAAACACGCGGATCCTAAGGCTTGGATCGGGTCACAAATTGGGTCGATGGGTCTAGTATATAACCCAAAATTTTAACAAAACATTTCATTTTTCATTTCTTTAAACCGATCAAACCTCTAAATTGTTCTTCAAGAACGAAGAACACGGCCGCCTGGGTTCATATGAACCCAAATTCCGATCGATCGCCGCCTCGTCGGCCGCCGTTCATCGGCAGTAATTTTGTTTTTGATTTTTCGAAAGCTTTCGACTCCTATTTTCTGAAAATAATTTTGGTTTTTTTCAAAAACGCCTCGAGGAGGGCTAGATCTGAGAGAAAATCTCGAAAACCCTCCTTGATCCTTGGCAAGAAGGTATACTTGTAACATATAAGCCTTCTTCTTTATTAGTGAGATATTTTTATTTATAAATGGATAATACTTAATTACTTCATAATTATTTTTTAAGCATTTAAATAAAAATATTATACTTAAATATATTTAAATGGAAATTTTATAAAATATTAATCAAATCAAGATTCAATCAAAATATATAGAATAACATTATTATGTTTAATAAGTATGATTATTTGAAACTCGAGAGTCATCTGACACTATTTATTAATTAATTTTTAATAAGTGTTATTTTATTTTTACTTTTGTCGCAACCGTCTTTCGGTTGGGTCCCGGAATTGGGCTTCGACTTGAAAAATGTAGATTGGAGTCGCCACCGATCATTTATTTAAAAATAAATGGGTTGATCGGATACCCTATTTCTTACCTGATCTGCGTCTTACCTGAGATGTGTCGGATTCGGGAATCGGTTACAGTCAAGGAAGGGCTAGCACCCTTGAACTGCCCTTTCGGTACTGTGTAATTTCCAGTTGTCTTTAATTAAGAAAATTGAAAGTTAAATTAAAAGGTAACGTATAATCCAAAATTATTTACCTTAGATTGATTTGAAAATATCTTTAAAAAGTCAAGAATCATGTTAAAAAGGTATTGAAAATAATGAAAAATGAAATAAAGGAAATAAAAAATGAGATAAGGTAAGGATAAAATAAGAAAATGGAATACCTACAATGGAATAGATGGAAACAAAATAAAACAATGTCAAACATAAAGGAAATGAACAACATAAAGAAAATAATAATGATGATGTACGTATAGTAAACAAATAGATGAATACCTGAATGAATTAAAAAAAGAAATAAAGAAAATAGAAATAAATGTAAGAGAAAATAATAGTACATATATCTATAATAATAATACAACAGTTTTTAATGCAAAACAACATAAAAATGATAGGATACGTACACATATAACGCTAAAGAAAACACTAGAAAATATATGTACATATATATAATTAAAATATTTATAAAAAAAACTAATAAAACTAAGGGATGAAACGTTTATATATATAAATACATATGATAATTTGTAAACAAAAATAAAAAGTCATGAAATAAGGGAGAAAAAAATACATGTATATATAAAGTAATAATAATAAAAAAATGGCTATATTAAAATTAAAAAAAGGCAAAATAATAGTAACTGGACTAAATCGAAAGAAAACCACGATTGAAGGTCGAATTTAAAAAAATCGAGTTTAAAAAACTGGATTCGGGGTTAAAATTGAAACTTTCAAAACAGGAGGGTCAAAAACGCGATTTACCCTTTAAAACAACAGAAACACGCGGATCCCCTCTTGATGGGTCGGGTTGCACGCGGATCTCCTGATGGGTTCAATATTTAAGCCAATAAAACATTTTAAAATTCATTCTAGCCTTAGTTGAAACCGAAGGCTCTCTCCCATTCCCTTCTTCCTCTGCCTTGTTCTTCAGACATGAAGAACAAGGGCCATGCGCCGCCGCCTGAGAATGGTGACCACCGCCTCGCCGCCGCTCATCAGCGATGATCCACCACGAAACCCAAATTTTTAAAGAGCATCCTTCTCTCATAGTTCAAAATCCAACCGGTTTTTCAGAAATCAAACTTAAAAAACACAGATCTAGGAAATAGATTTTCCAGAAAAAAATGCCTCACTTCGCTCGTCGGCCAAAATGCAACTTATGGGTTCCGTTCGCACCAACAACACAGGAGATACAACATGCAAGGTGAGAAACCGAACAGACAAGGTAAAAGAAAAAAAACTACCTCTTTTTTATTGATTTTTTCGAACGTCTTTACAAGGGCTTGGACCTTCTTGGCTATTGTGTGTGGGTGGATGTTACACAGTGATTTTGTATGTGAATCCAGTATCCAAAAAAAATCTCCTTTGTTGTGTTAATTACAAGCCTATTTATACTAAAATAAAAACCTAATTTTAGACTACATGTTTGAGTCCTAATGGAACTCTAATGCTTTGTTGTTTTCCACATGCACGTTGTTGGTTTGTTGCCGAGAAGCATGGAGACGTGAAGGATAAGAGGCCTTCGGTGTGGAGGAGTCCTTGAGCGAAGCATGCGGCGCTGGATGGGGGAAACTGCTAGGGTTGCGCGTGTTGGGTCTGACATAGAAACAAAACAAATGTAAATTTGTTAGTTTACTAAAATAATAATATTTATACAATATATAATATATATATAACATATAAATATGTGTGATTTTAAAAAAAAAATGTGTCTACAGCTGCCCCTCTTTGCCCATAGTCGTGTAACGGGGATAGGGCAAAGATTAAAAGACACACTTTTCGTTTACCCAAAAACGTATCCAAATTTAACATCATCCATATAAGGGTCAAGTCCCATCGAATATCCTCTCCTGTAGAGTTGAAATCCGATCATTGGACTAAATCATACAATTACTCCCTCGCCGGGAGGTTGAGCCAAAATTGGAAAATTCTGAGCACGAAATCCTTCGTCGCGAAGTTGAAAACGAGCTCAAAGCTTTTGACAAGTGGCCTCTGAATCGTCTTCCGGCTCAAGATACTTCGTTGTGAAGGTGGAACTTGACCTGAAGACTTTGGTGTTGTGATGTTACAGGTGACCCCTTTGTCGTGAAGTTGGGTCAATCTGTTAGGGTACGATACCATTTGTTGTGAAGTTGAGCCTGGAATTGGATATCCTTCGTTGTGAAGTTGAAATCCAAGTAAGTTGCATTGTTCCGAGTCCAATATCCTCCGCCGTGAAGTTGAAATTGGTTCTGGAACTGGGAAATTGTTTGTTGACAGTCAGCCGCCCCTTCGTTGTGAAGTTGAGCTTGTGTTGTCTGGAGTCCAATATCCTTCGTTGTGAAGTTGAAATTGGCTCTGAATTTGAGAAATGTTTGTTGACAACCAGCGGTCCCTTCGTCGTGAAGTTGAACTTGCGTTGTCTGGAGTCCAATATCCTTCGTTGTGAAGTTGAAATTGGCTCTGAAATTGAGAAATGTTTGTTGACAACCAGCGGTCCCTTCGTCGTGAAGTTGAACTTGCGTTGTCTGGAGTCCAATATCCTTCATTGTGAAGTTGAAATTGGCTCTGAAATTGAGAAATGTTTGTCGACAACCAGCGGTCCCTTCGTCGTGAAGTTGAACTTGCGTTGTCTGGAGTCCAATATCCTTCGTTGTGAAGTTGAAATTGGCTCTGAAATTGAGAAATGTTTGTTGACAACCAGCGGTCCCTTCGTCGTGAAGTTGAACTTACGTTGTCTGGAGTCCAATATCCTTCGTTGTGAAGTTGAAATTGGCTCTGAAATTGAGAAATGTTTGTTGACAACCAGCGGTCCCTTCGTCGTGAAGTTGAACTTACGTTGTCCGGAGTCCAATATCCTTCGTTGTGAAGCTGAAATTGGCTCTGGGTAAAACCTGCAAAGATATGCATATATGTGATGTTATGGATGTCATGCTCTTAGGTATGCCTAAAATGCATATGCAACATATGTTATCCTGAGCTCTAGAGAGTAATCTCGATCTCCGGTGGCCTGTCGTTGTTGACTCTTGAGCTTGAAGTTCCGATCTCTGATCTTAAATTCTTCAAACGTTTGATGATTTTTTTTTTTTTTTTTGAAGATGCTCCTCAACCATCTCAAGCATGTGCATGAGCCTTGATCGGCTTCTGGGTACCTGTACTTTTCAATGAATCTTTGTACAGCAATATGCGATTATCTTTCATAAAAATAAATAAACCATTAGGTTTAAATCTAATTCAAGATGCTCAAAAGGTATTGGAGGAAAGATGGTCTTTATTCATAAAGGCGGAGAAGAACAAATAATACATGGCAAACATTCTAGAAAACGAATACACAATGATGTGTAAATGAATGTCTTAGATCTCGATAACGTGGGCACATCTGAGTTGAAAAGCCGTTTGGTGACTTTGAGTGCAGCCTTTGCCAAAGGATCTTTGAAAATGCGACAATGTTTGGGAGGGTGCAACATTTCTCCGATTTGTTGAGTTCGTAGAAGATTCATGTGCCGGGATGTTTCCACTGTTGATATCCAAATCGCCCTTTCCGGGTTTTCAACTTGGACCCATCCTTAGTCGCAAGACGCCCTTTGCGGGTTTTCATCTTGAACCCACCTTATTTTCTCTTCTTTTTTCTTTTTCTTTTTTTTAATTTTAGGGCGCCCTCTCGGGTTTTCACCCTAAACGTTTTTTTTTTTTTTTCAACTTAGGACGCCCTCTCGGGTTTTCATCCTAAGCGAAGTATTTCTTGACTGCGTCCGAGTTGATGGGATGTGGCAGTTCAGGTCCGTCCATTTCAGCCAGGACGAGGGCTCCTCCGGAGAAAGCCTTTTTCACGACATAAGGTCCTTCCCAATTTGGCGTCCATTTTCCTCGGACATCTTTATGGACCGGCCAAATTCTTTTTAGCACTAGATCCCCTTCGCGGAATATTCTCGGGCGCACCTTTTTGTCATGTGCTCGGATCATTCGTTTCTGATAGATTCTACCATGATGAATGGCTTTCAGTCTTTTTTCATCTATCAGATTAAGCTGATCATATCTGGATTGTGCCCATTCTGCATCATTCAGTTTGACTTCTGACAAGACCCTAAGAGACGGAATCTCGACTTCAATGGGTAGCACTGCTTCCATTCCATAGGCTAGTGAGAATGGAGTTGCCCCAGTCGAAGTTCGTACCGAGGTTCGATAAGCGAACAAAGCAAAAGGCAACTTCTCATGCCAGTCTTTGTAAGTTTCAGTTGTTTTCTCCATTATCTTCTTAATATTTTTGTTTGCTGCTTCTACTGCTCCGTTCATCTTTGGTCTGTAAGCAGTGGAATTGTGATGTTTTATGTTGAACTGTTCGCAGGCAGCGCTCATCATCTTGTTGTTCAAGTTTGTTGCGTTATCGGTGATAATCCTTTCAGGTATACCATACCGACATATAATTTCTTTCTTCAGAAACTTGCAAATAGTGGATTGAGTGACACTGGCGTATGACGCGGCCTCTACCCATTTCGTGAAATAATCAATTGCTACGAGAATGAAACGGTGACCATTCGAAGCCTTCGGATGGATTTGCCCGATAACGTCCATGCCCCACACGGAAAAAGGCCATGGTGACGTCATTACATGAAGTGGATGGGGTGGAACATTTATCTTGTCTCCATAAATCTGACATTTATGACATCTCCTAGCATAGTTGATGCAATCACTTTCCAGTGTGGACCAAAAATATCCGCATCTCATTATTTGTCTTGACATCATATGTCCATTTGCATGTGCTCCACAAACCCCATCATGTACTTCTTCCACTATCATTTTTGCCTCTTCAGTATCGACGCACCTTAACAGAACTTGGTTATGGCTTTTCTTGTATAAAACCTCTCTGTCAAGGACATATCCAACTGCCAACCTTCTAAGGGTTCTCTTATCGGTTTCAGTGGCTTTTTCTGGATAACTCCGATGCTTGATATACTGCAGAATGTCGTAGTACCAAGGCTTAGTATCTTTCACTTCTTCAATTTGGTAACAATGAGCTGGATACTCATACGACTGCATGTTAATTGGCATCATTTCAGACCCCCCGCCAGTCTTGAATGTGGCAGCCAAGGTAGCTAAAGCGTCAGCCATTTGATTTTCTTCTCTAGGCACGTAGTGGAAGGTGACTTCGTCGAACTCTTCGAGCAGATCCAACACTAGTTTTCGGTACTCTAACAGCTTTATATCCTTGGTTTCCCACTCTCCTCGGAGCTGATAGATTACTAAGGCTGAGTCTCCATACACCCGCAAAGTCTTTATATTTTGCCCCAGTGCAGCCCGAATTCCCAAGACACAGGCTTCATATTCTGCCATGTTATTGGTACAATCAAAGTTCAGTCTGCTGGTAAATGGGTAGTGACTCCCTTCTGGGGAGACTAGAATTGCCCCGATGCCATGTCCTAGTGCATTTGATGCCCCATCGAAGTGCATTCTCCAGGAACCGTCCGTTGAAATGCTTGCTTCCTCTAAAGATATGGCCATTAAGTCCTCGTCTGGGAAATCAAAGTCCAGCGGCTCATAGCTCTCATCAGTTCTGCTTGCCAAAAAATTAGATATGGCACTGCCTTTTACGGCTTTTTGGCTCAAGTATTCGATGTCAAATTCAGACAAAAGCATCTGCCATCGGGCTAACCTTCCGGATAGAGCAGGTATACCCATCATGTATTTTAGAGGGTCTAACTTGGAAATCAGCCAAGTGGTGTGATACAACATGTATTGTCGAAGTCTTTTTGTAGCCCATACCAGGGCACAACAGACCTTCTCAATAGGAGGATATCGGACCTCGCAATCGGTGAACTTCTTGCTTAAGTAGTAGATGGCTCTTTCCTTCTTCCCAGACTCGTCATGTTGACCCAGGACACACCCCATGGAGCTTTCGAATATGGAGAGATACAAGAACAGAGGTTTTCCTGGGATAGGGGACATCAGTATAGGAGCGTGGGACAAGTACTCTTTTACCTTCTCAAATGCAATTTGACAATTTTCATCCCATGTTCTAGGGCTATTCTTTCGGAGGAGACGAAAGATGGGGTCACATTTGTCGGTTAACTGAGAGATAAACCGAGCTATGTAGTTTAGTCTGCCCAGAAAACCTCGGACTTCTTTTTGTGTTCGTGGAGGAGGTAGACTCTGGATGGCCTTAACCTTATCCGGATCAACCTCAATGCCTTTTCTGCTGACTATAAAGCCTAATAGTTTCCCGGATGTCACCCCGAAGGTACACTTGTTAGGGTTCAGTCGTAACCGGAATTTCCTCAATCTTTGGAAGAGCTTTCTCAGATTCTCGACATGTTCATTCTCGGTCTGTGCCTTGACGATCATGTCGTCGACATAAACCTCGATCTCTTGGTGCATCATGTCGTGGAACAAGGTAACCATAGCTCTCTGATATGTTGCCCCAGCATTCTTTAATCCGAAAGGCATCACTTTGTAACAGAAAGTTCCCCACATTGTGACGAAAGTGGTCTTCTCCATGTCTTCGGGATGCATCTTGATCTGATTGTACCCCGAAAATCCATCCATGAATGAAAAGTAGGCGTTCCCGGCCGTATTGTCCACCAGAGTGTCTATGTGTGGCAGAGGAAAGTTGTCCTTGGGACTGGCCTTATTAAGGTCCCGGTAATCGACACACATGCGTACTTTCCCGTCCTTCTTCGGCACAGGCACTATGTTGGCCACCCACTCAGGGTATTTGGCCACTTGGAGAAAACCGGCATCAAATTGCTTCTTGACTTCTTCCTTGATCTTAAGGAGCATTTCTGGTCGCATTCTTCTCAGTTTTTGCTGCACAGGTTTGAATTCTGGTTTGATTGGCAGTTTGTGAACTACCATATCTGTGTCTAGTCCCGGCATGTCTTGATACGACCAAGCAAACACATCTTCGTACTCCTGAAGTAAGGCTATCAGGTTTTTTCTTGCTTCAGTCGAAAGAGTTGTGCCGATTTTAACCTCCTTTCGATCTTCCTCAGTGCCCAAATTTAATATTTCGATCGCCTCCTCATGTGGCAGTATTTGCTTTTCTTCTTTTTCTATCATTCTCAACAATTCGATAGGCAAGTTGTATTCTTCTTCATTATCGCATTCTTCAAATTCCCCAAGGCAAATGGTTGATTCAAAATCCACCTCCGGATCAGGATCATTAGTGCCCCCATTATCGTTATCTGGGAACCTGAAAGAAGAAAAATGTGCATGTGTGAGAGGATAATATCCCACACGGAACGGTCAAGAACTAACTTTGAGAGTAACTGGAAATGAAGTACTGGAATGAAGGAGATAGGGAATGAATTCAAGAATAAAAGAAAAGTTTGTTTGCCATGGAAAGGAAAAATTCATCTTTTATTAAACTTAAACAAAATATTTATTCACCCTTACAAAAGATCACCTATTGCCCCGGGTATAGGCAAATAGGGATAGCTCGAATATTACTCTGAAAGATTCTTGTAAACCACAGGTAGTTCTTCCACCGACCAACTGCTAGGCACGAACCCATGTGGCAGAAGGCATATCACGGATCTATCTCCGTTGTCAACATCTTCTGTGGTCACGGCATTAACATTCAGATCTTCCAGAGCCGTTTCTAACTCGGATGTGGTGGTCTCAAACACATAACCACCTGACTTGAATGTTCTGAAAAGCGGCGGGAATGTCATAGGCTTCCATTGGAGTTCGTTTCCAGTCAATCTAGCTAACCTTCTCTCCCGGTTCTTTTGGATTTCCTTTCTCTGTTCATGATAACCGGGCTGAAAACCGAGCCCAAATTGGTCTGATTTTGGGATAGGAATGACAGGATTGATCATCCCTTGCAAATATTTCCCAAAACCTCTCCCGGTTCTGGCGCCTCGACCTAGGGTTTGCTTGATCTCCATCCTTGTGCATTTGGAGAGTCGAGGTCTTGGGATTCTCTTTCCTTCTGCCACAAATGTGGCATTCACAAACTCCAAGGAGCGGAACGAACATTCTACCGCTTCCTCGTCTACTTCGATGTATGGAGCCTCCGTGGTCACGCTTGCCACGATATCTTCCTCAGCGTTGATAATTACCAAGGCCCCGTCAATGACAAATTTAACTTTCTGGTGCAACGTGGAGGGTACTGCACCTGCCTGATGAATCCACGGCCTTCCCAAAAGACAGCTATAGGACGGCATGATATCCATCACAAGGAACTCGACATTATAGGTGGCTGGTCCGATGGTCAATGGTACCTCAATCTTTCCGATTACCTCTCTTTTGGTCCCATCAAATGCTCGGACCACATTCTGACAAGCTCTCATATGAGAGGTATCTATTGGTAGCCTCTTCAATGTAATCAAAGGCATCACGTTCAAGGCTGAACCATTATCGATTAAGACACTTGGTAAAGCGTGCCCCTTACAGTAGGTAGTAATGTGTAACGCCTTCGTTCGGCCTCTTCCTCCTGATGGAATCTTATCATCTGAAAACGAGATGAGATTATCAGCTTGAATATTGTTCACCAGTCGATCCATCTTGCTGACTGGTATGTCTTGTGGCACGAACGTTTGATTAAGGACATTTAACAACGCTTCTCGGTGTGCTTCCGAGCTTAAAAATAGTGCTAGCATTGAAGTACGTGTAGGTAAGTTGTGGAGCTGTTCTACAATGTTGTACTCGTTGTGCTTCAAGATCTTGAGGAACTCTTTAGCTTCTTCCTCCTTTATAGGTTCATTGACGACTAGCACATCTTCTTTGAAAGGCTCCAGTGGTCTTTGCCCCACTTTACTATTACCTCCTCCGGAAGTGCTCACCTGACACTCGTACTTCCATGGCACTTGCCGATTGTCCTTATATTGAAAAGGCCGCGGTGCGGAGATTACCACCTTGGCTGGTGTTGTCACTGTCATGCTTGCCTTAGGGGTAATTATCAAAGGACTACCCCTACCAAATTTTCTATCGGATGATTCTCCGGTGGCACAAACATCTGCTTCCCAAGAATCTTGAATTTCTTCGTAAAATTCCAACTCCTTTCGATCCATCATGAGCTGGACTAACAATCTGAACTCTGGGCAATCTTGCACTTTATGCCCTTCTTTGTTGTGGTAACAACAATGGTTACCATCTTCGTTTTCTATCGTATCTGAATATGGTGCAAGAAATCCTGCCTTTACCATTTGGCTCCATACCCAAGCCAAAGGAGATTTAACCTCTGAAACACTCAATTTAACTTTCCTGCCCCCTTCGGTAGTAACGGCATTGATTCCTGTCTCCTGATGATTGGGCAAGGGATTCTGGGCGACGTTTGGTGTTCCGGAGTTGAAAGTGATCCAATTCTTGTTTCTCATCCGTTGCACAAGTCTCTTGAATGCGAGACAACTTTCAATCGAATGCCCCTGCACACCACCATGGTATTCGCAGTGAGCGCTCTCGTCATACCATTTCGGGTAAGGGGGATTTATTGGATTCATAGGATAAGGCGACATTGCATGAGTGTCGAAGAGCTGTTGGTATAATTCTTTATACGTCATGGGAATGGGGTCAAACTGTTCCCTTTCCCTTTCTCTTCTTGGTTCTCTCTGGTTCTGTCTAGAAGTACCGGATGGTACAGCTGCTGTGGAATTTGAGCTCGAGATCGTAACCCCCTTGCTGACACTGTAGGTGTTTACATTGTTGATCTCTCGCTCCTTGTTTTTCGTGGGAGGCTTTTTACTGGAGTCTCCTCCCTCAATCTTTCCTTGTTTAATGGCCAACTCGATCATTTCGCCGGCCATGACTAAATCTGAAAAACTCCCCGACGTGATTGCTACCAAATGCCCGAAGTAAGGTACCCTCAGGGTCTGTACAAACAGCTTTCTAGTTTCCTTTTCATCCAAAGGTGGATGAACTTGCACAGATAAATCCCTCCATCTCTGTGCGTACTGTCGGAAACTCTCATTGTGTTTCTTCTCCAGGCTTTGTAACATGACCCGGTCTGGTCTCATATCATTGATATGCTTATACTGCTCCAGGAAAGACTTGGCTAAGTCTTTCCACGTCTTGATATGAGTTCGGCTAAGCTGGTTGTACCACCGAATAGCTGAACCGGACAGGCTCTCCTGAAAACAATGGATCAGGAGTTGATCATTCCCTCCATATCCTGTCATCTTTCGACAGAACATAGTGATATGGGCTGAAGGGCAGCTGTTCCCGTCGAACTTCTCAAACTCAGGAATTTTAAACTTTGGTGGAAGTACCAAGTCTGGAACTAGGCTTAGCTCCATTGCGTCCACTCCATAATAATCATGGTCTCCCTGGACCATCTTTATTTGATCTTCTAATATTTTTATCTTTTCTTCCATCTTTTTGGCTTTATCTTCCTCGTCAAAGTCTGGGACATTATAATCATCCGGATGATCATCAGGGATGATTGTAGAAGTTTGTATCTTCACAGCAGGTGCAACTTTCGCTTTGGTAGCGAATGAGTCCCCGGGTAGTGCTGCTTTCCCTTTAGTAGCAGATGCGTCCCCGGGTAATATTCCGGGTGAGAGAACCACTTGCGGGGTTGGTGGTATGGCCACCCCCTCGGAAGAGATGCCCCCTGATGCACTAGCTTGCTGTAGACCTGACAACTTGGCTACGATTTGGTCGACCAAGGACTCCTGATTTTTCTTGATGGACTCAAGAGTACTTTCACTGTTCTGAGCCATCTTATCTTCTAGCTCCTTTTGAAGTCTTGCCATGTGTTCTTCGATCTTCTCCATTCTGGCTTCCATTTGTCTCTTTTTTGCTCGAGTATTGTGCGGGTGATGTGTATCTGATGCTTGCGGTGGTAAGCTCGGTGTCTGAGACATGTTCTGTTAGTTAATATGAATGTAAAAACATGGAAAATATAAAATAAACAAACATGAAATATAAAATGCAAGAAATGTAATGTATGATGTATGCAATTGGAGGCATTGATACAGAAAAGTGTTCATTATTATAAATAATCCTTATTCAGACAAAAATGTTTTATCTTTTTAGAGACATAAAGACAGATTAAAGGTACATTCGGACTAAATCCTCTAGACCCCGAACAGCTTCCAGTAGGTTGACAAGTCTTCTGCCTTCATCTGTCACTGGTTGAATGCCTTGTCGAACCACACCAGCTTCCCTTGCTAGGCCGTGAAGATGATGGGCTGCTTTTTGCACTTGATCCAGGAAATCTCGGATGGTTGCGTCTCGGGCCCTCACCCTTCGTTGTGCTTGTTCCCAACGGAAACGCCATTGTAGTCCTCCGTCGAAGGGCACCATCTGAAGCTCGTTTGCTTGCCTGTTGAACCCATCTATAATAGCTTCTAACTCAGCTATCGTCTTGCCATCTTTCTCATGCTGTTTCTCTAAGTCAGCTACTCGAACTCTCAAGTGTTGGTTCTGATATTGACTATCTGCCAAGCGTCTTTGGGCAGTCTTTGTTTGTTCTTTCCAAGCTCTCTCATCAGGCCCCTCGAACTTCCTTTTCAGGCTATGAGATTCGTCTTTCCAGTATTCAGAGGTTACCTTCAACTTGGAGTTATCCTTGACCTTATCTTGATACCCCTTTCTCAAGTCTTCGAGCTCAAAACGGACTCTTTTTTGTTCTTTTTCCAGTTTTTCTGCCCGATCTTTCTGAGAGTCAGCATCAAGCTTCCACTGATAACGTTCAGCTTCAAGTTCCTTTATCCTTTGCTTCAGCTCATTACTCACGGCTTCAAACTCGGTCTTAGCTATCTCTAGTTCAGAAGGGACATGCCTGAGATGTTCCTCCATGGTCCGGGTGTCATCACAGTCTGGCACAGGGATATTGCCATTCTTTCTCAATCTTCGCCACTCCACATAATCCGGAGTGAGCATACTTCTGGCAGCTACAACATCCATCCGGAATACTTTCCTCCACGAATCGGCTACTTCTTTGATCATTTTCTTATAGCTGTCGCCGTGATACTCAAACTCTGACCTAGCTAACCCGCATGTTGCTGGGACAAACTGACGTGCTCCATATTGTCTAAGTGCTAATAGCGGAGCATACCCGACTGCTCCCCAAAGTCCAAGTAAGGTCACAGTGTCGGAGTCACCACATCGAAAAAGAACATCACTGAGGAATAACCAAGGGGCTCTCCAAACAATATCTCGGTCTTGAAGATGCGTAAAGACCTTCATCCATTTTTCTTTCGAGGCGCCTTCATGCCATTTTAAGGTAATAAATTCACCTAGAGGTGAATAGGTGGTGCTGAAACGGCGGTAGGCAACCCCGTCAGTCTTCCAGAAGTGGCTGTGAATCCAGACTTGAAGGAGCTGAATGCACCCGGTGAATCTTCCTCCGCCAGTTCTTCGGCAATGATTGAGAGATCGAAAGGTCTCCGCCAAGATGGCTGGTGCTGGATTGACCCTTCTCGAGAGTTGTTCGAATAGCTCCACTACGGTGGCATCGATGTATCCCAAGGTCTTTGGGAATAGAATTAGACCATACAGACCTAATGCAAACAGGTCTATTGTCTTCCATTCATCAGGATGGTGCTTCATTAGTTGTTTGATATGAAGCCAAGCGATTCCTTCTCCACTACCCTTACATCGAGCTCGGTCAGTTACCCATTTTTCATCAACTCCGGCAACCTTAGCTAGTGTATTTTTGAAAGGTTGACTTTTAATGTGCTTAAGGTAGGCCCGCTCGAGTTTGATGTTTTCACAATGCAGCAGTGTAGTGTACTCTTCTATGGTGGGCACCATGTCTTCCCGGTTAAAGGTGAAGCAACTGTATCCCGGGTTCCAGAATTGAACCAAGGCTCTAATTAAGGGCTCATCAATCTTAACATGAAGCAAAAGTGCAACATCACCGTACCGTTGGCTGAACTTCTGTTTCACCTCATTCTTCCAACTGTCCCAGATATCCCGGAGCTCTTGTACGTCATTTTGCTTTAGGCTGATCGAGGCGTAGCTAACCAGCTCTGACACATAGCTGTCTTGAAGACTGTCTCCCTTGTCCTTCTGAGTCTTCTCGGACCATAGTCGTACCTCAGGGTTTTTAATCTCTTGTATTACAACACCTTTATCCATTAATTCAGATTATTTTGTGCGTAATGAACGTCTTTTTAGGGATCAATGGCCTCTTGTTATGATGCAAATGCTAAAAACAAACACAAAGGCAAATGGTTAGTAAAATAAAAATAAATGAAAATAAAAATAACAAGAAAAAAACATAAGAAAAAAACAAACGATTAGGAAACAATTGTCCTAGGTTTTGGAATGTGGTTTTGGGGTAGGCTCTATTTCTTCGAAGTCTCCTGGTTTAGGTTCTAAAAACGGTACCCGAGTTCTCCTTGCTGGTGCCCCCTTGGGCTTACCAGACCCTTAGTCCTAAACCCATCACAAGCTTGTGTGGACTAAGTTAAACTCGAGGGGACACATTCCCTTATGTCTATGCAGAGAATAAATTCACACGAAGACATAAGGTATATGAATCCCGAGGGCTACTCGCTAGGCATATGCGGTGAATAAATTCACACGAATGCGTCGCTTTCACCCCCACTTAAAGGGTTCGGAGCTCGGGTATAGAGCCTTTGGATGAAAAGGTTTGGAAAACTGAAATCATTAGAAAACGGTCAGTCCAACTATTTACTCAAAAAAAAAATATAACCAAAAGTAAGTAATAAGGATCGAAATGTTACCTTAAAGTTCCAACTTACCCTTTTCATTAAAAAGACAACTGGAAATTACCTTAGCCTGACCCACTTACCTGTGTCCCCAGCAGAGTCGCCAAGCTGTCGCAACCGTCTTTCGGTTGGGTCCCGGAATTGGGCTTCGACTTGAAAAATGTAGATTGGAGTCGCCATCGATCATTTATTTAAAAATAAATGGGTTGATCGGATACCCTATTTCTTACCTGATCTGCGTCTTACCTGAGATGTGTCGGATTCGGGAATCGGTTACAGTCAAGGAAGGGCTAGCACCCTTGAACTGCCCTTTCGGTACTGTGTAATTTCCAGTTGTCTTTAATTAAGAAAATTGAAAGTTAAATTAAAAGGTAACGTATAATCCAAAATTATTTACCTTAGATTGATTTGAAAATATCTTTAAAAAGTCAAGAATCATGTTAAAAAGGTATTGAAAATAATGAAAAATGAAATAAAGGAAATAAAAAATGAGATAAGGTAAGGATAAAATAAGAAAATGGAATACCTACAATGGAATAGATGGAAACAAAATAAAACAATGTCAAACATAAAGGAAATGAACAACATAAAGAAAATAATAATGATGATGTACGTATAGTAAACAAATAGATGAATACCTGAATGAATTAAAAAAAGAAATAAAGAAAATAGAAATAAATGTAAGAGAAAATAATAGTACATATATCTATAATAATAATACAACAGTTTTTAATGCAAAACAACATAAAAATGATAGGATACGTACACATATAACGCTAAAGAAAACACTAGAAAAATATATGTACATATATATAATTAAAATATTTATAAAAAAAACTAATAAAACTAAGGGATGAAACGTTTATATATATAAATACATATGATAATTTGTAAACAAAAATAAAAAGTCATGAAATAAGGGAGAAAAAAATACATGTATATATAAAGTAATAATAATAAAAAAAATGGCTATATTAAAATTAAAAAAAGGCAAAATAATAGTAACTGGACTAAATCGAAAGAAAACCACGATTGAAGGTCGAATTTAAAAAAATCGAGTTTAAAAAACTGGATTCGGGGTTAAAATTGAAACTTTCAAAACAGGAGGGTCAAAAACGCGATTTACCCTTTAAAACAACAGAAACACGCGGATCCCCTCTTGATGGGTCGGGTTGCACGCGGATCTCCTGATGGGTTCAATATTTAAGCCAATAAAACATTTTAAAATTCATTCTAGCCTTAGTTGAAACCGAAGGCTCTCTCCCATTCCCTTCTTCCTCTGCCTTGTTCTTCAGACATGAAGAACAAGGGCCATGCGCCGCCGCCTGAGAATGGTGACCACCGCCTCGCCGCCGCTCATCAGCGATGATCCACCACGAAACCCAAATTTTTAAAGAGCATCCTTCTCTCATAGTTCAAAATCCAACCGGTTTTTCAGAAATCAAACTTAAAAAACACAGATCTAGGAAATAGATTTTCCAGAAAAAAATGCCTCACTTCGCTCGTCGGCCAAAATGCAACTTATGGGTTCCGTTCGCACCAACAACACAGGAGATACAACATGCAAGGTGAGAAACCGAACAGACAAGGTAAAAGAAAAAAAACTACCTCTTTTTTATTGATTTTTTCGAACGTCTTTACAAGGGCTTGGACCTTCTTGGCTATTGTGTGTGGGTGGATGTTACACAGTGATTTTGTATGTGAATCCAGTATCCAAAAAAAATCTCCTTTGTTGTGTTAATTACAAGCCTATTTATACTAAAATAAAAACCTAATTTTAGACTACATGTTTGAGTCCTAATGGAACTCTAATGCTTTGTTGTTTTCCACATGCACGTTGTTGGTTTGTTGCCGAGAAGCATGGAGACGTGAAGGATAAGAGGCCTTCGGTGTGGAGGAGTCCTTGAGCGAAGCATGCGGCGCTGGATGGGGGAAACTGCTAGGGTTGCGCGTGTTGGGTCTGACATAGAAACAAAACAAATGTAAATTTGTTAGTTTACTAAAATAATAATATTTATACAATATATAATATATATATAACATATAAATATGTGTGATTTTAAAAAAAAAAATGTGTCTACAACTTTAATAGATATAGTTTTAAATTATTTTTTACATAATTTTAATTATTCTCACGTTATAATGTTTTTAGTAATTTCTTTTGTTATTTTCATCAATTCTAACATTTATTATTTTATTAGAGCTTAAATGTATTGATACTGAAATTAGATACTCCCTATTAAATTAGTATTTAAGAAATTTTCATTTCTAGTTGATATCTGAACTAAACACTCTGTTAAATTGATACTATTTTTTTTTTATAAAATTATATCACACGTTAATAAAGATGTCATCATGTATTTTTAAAAATATCAAAATAACATATATAATTAAAATTTAAAGTATTAATTTAAGAAAAAATGTCAAAAATCTCGAAAACCCTCCCCCAATCCTCGGCTTTTGTTCTTTTTCGGGTTTTTTGAATAAAAATCAACTAGAATAACATCAATCATGCTACATGTGAGTACAAAACCAAAAAAAAGGTGAGAACTTTTACCTTTCCCTTTATTTCCTTTTAGAAGCTTTCTACAAATGCTCGGTTTTCTCTCGTATTTTTTCTTGTAATATTTTTTGTATTTCTCGTATGATTTCTTGTATTATAACACCCATAACCCGTATAATTATACCTATACAGATTATAGATATCACCCGAATTTATAAAACCATTTTTACAATTCAAAAGAGATTTAAAATTTATTTTCTTAAAATGGTAATTGATATTATATAAATACCATATCATATGAATTGTATTTCATTATAACAAATTTAAAACAAAAGATTTTTTATGAATAGTGAATTGTGAACAGTAACAACGAACAGTGCACTGATGCACTGCTACAGTAAAGTGAACAGTGTACCGATGCACAAAAACATCGAATTATAATTGTGTATCGATGCACTGCTACACTAACTGCTACAGTATTTTTCCGAAAAATACATATAAAACTCATAAAAATTTAACCTTTCATCACTATAAAATTTACCATTTTGTTTCCAAATTTATTCAACAAAACAAATCGAATATTATTAATTACATGTCACTATCTAAATCAAATTACATCTTATGATGTCTTACTGATATTGAAATATACCATCGATGCTTGAGGTCACTTTGAACACTTTATTCCAATACTTGCTTTTTACCTACACGTGAAAATCATCACACGCTAAGTATAAACTTAGTGAGGCAAATAAAACAATAATAGTGCAATACAATTCATGCATGATTTTTAATGTCAATTTCAAAATGCCATAAAATCCTATTACCAACATATCCAATATTTTTCCATGATCAAATATGATAAAATCTCTTACCATTTATCCCATAAGCTCGTAAGCTTATTTGGATGCTTACCATTTATTAAGCAATAAACCATAAACCATAGCCCATAACCCAATATTAAACCTTGAGGACCCTGGGTATTCGAGTAAAATACCTACACCGTAGTGCTAAACCTGCACTAAGCATACGCCATAGTGCTAATCCGGACAATACACATAGGGCACCACCTACACTAAGCTTACGCTATAGTGCTAATCCGGACATAAACTTGCACTTAGTGTCTTTACACACTATAGTGCTAATATAAACCTACAGCTGCTATACTCTATGACATGCCAACTATACCCTGTCCCTCAATGACTAACTTGGGCATATAGTATATTTTATTCGATCCATCCATGGAAAAATATATCATCAATATTTAACATTTGGCAGTTCATACCCGAAAACATTTATGGTAAAATATCACATTTTTCATGATCGATGCATTTTGATTTCATACCATGACATTTCAATGTCATATCAAAGTTATAAAAATGACATATATCATGCTGATATAAACAAGGTCGACTTATCGCAAGTCTTCTTGATGATGTATAAAACATCCATGTATAATTTCATGCATGTATTGCACTCACCTTGACACTTTATATCTTTCAAAATATGTGCCTCACTATTATCCACAATAAACCCTTTTTATACTTGACTTGCATCATTTGCAAATCAATCATAATCTTTATAAATCACAAATTCATAATGATACATATGTTAGTATTATACTAACATAAACGTATCCCAAATAACTCCATAATATACTTGAACTCATTTTTTTATCAAAATACTCAATACTTAATAATTCCTTTTAATATTGGAACCGACTTTTCCAATTTACACAAAATGGTCCTTCACCATTTTATCACTTAAATTCTTAATACCAATAATTCCAGCATAGTATATCAATTATACAACACTTACACGACAACCCATCAATTTTCCATATTCAGACAATTCGTACTACCTTTAAAGAATCAGTATTCTGTATTGATATACACACTGGAATTCAATTATGTTTCTTTCGTTAAAAACTAGACTTGAATAAGAATCTATCCATATAAATAACTCCTTCTAATTCATTCTTTACAATTTATGGTGAATTTTTAAAGTTGATCAACAGAATCTGTTTTGCAGAATCTGCTGTTCGATTTTTCCATATTCAGACAATTCGTACTACCTTTAAAGAATCAGTATTCTGTATTGATATACACACTGGAATTCAATTATGTTTATTTAGTTAAAAACTAGACTTAAATACGAATCTATCCATATAAATAACTCCTTCTAATTCATTATTTACAATTTATGGTGAATTTTTAAAGTTGATCAACAGAATCTGTTTTGCAGAATCTGCTATCCGATTTTTCTGACCTTTCCTTGGTTAAAAATTCATATCTCTTTGTATACACCTTGAAATTGATTCCCGTTTGTTTTAAACAGAACTAGATCGATATATGAACATAATATATAAAAAAAACCTCCAAATTATTTTTATATAATTTCTGGTAAATTTCCAAACCCACTGCAAAATTCAAATATAAATTGTTTTCTTTAACCTCATCCCTAGTTTCTTCATCAATTCTTACAACCAATTCCTTAAAATCACTTAACTCTTCATAACCCATAAAACACAAGAATCAACATCCCCTTTCATCAACTCAAGATGAACTTGAATAACCAACAATATTATCATGCAATATTGGTACCCAAAAGATAGCGTTTTTCGCATATAACAATTTTTTATTTTCAACATACTCAAAATCCTAAGAAAATTACTTGAAATTTGAGTTGAAGTTTTCTCTTACCTTTGAAGAAGCCCACGTCTGGTTGGAGAAGAAGATGAACAAATTTGAATGAAATGTGGGAAACATCTCATCTTAATTTACATTTCATTCCACTTTAAATGAATATAATATTCATTTAGTTGAGATAAGACCAAATCACCCTTAATGAATCTTTTTATTTACCATAAAACCATGACAACTCATCCTTATCATATTTCAAAGTCAAATCTGAATTATTTTAACTTTTATTTCTGAAATTTCCCTTGAATTTTCAAAAATTGTGTTTTAGTCACTAAATCCGTTGTTTCGGTTAAATCTGAAAAATTGCACATTTCCAAACCAAATTTCTCTGATCCAAAATATTAAAATAATATTTCCAACCATTTTATAACATCCTTCAAAGTTTTGTAAAATTCCAATTCGATATGAATTACCTATTCCTTATCGGACTTTAACCCTTTCTAATTTTTTCTTTACTAAAATTTCCAAATCCATAAATATGATTTCTATAAAACCTCAATCTCAAGAGTAAACTATCTATTTATAGAATAAATTTCTTTTTGGGAAATTATCACTTAATTCCCTAAACGTTTTCCCAATTTTTTCTTTGACCATCAAACTTTCCAAATTTTCATTTTGGTCATTGTCTAAATTTTTGGGGTATTACAATTCTCCCTTCCTTAAGAAAATTCGTCCTCGAATTTTAAAACTTTTTAAGAAAACACTAACTCCCTTTTTATAAAGAAGTTTATCCAAAATAGGGATTTTTTTTAAACTCTCATCTTTCTTTAAAGATAAGAATAATTCAATAGTCTTTCAAACATCACTAAATTCCTTTTTCCCTTGTAACATCCTCAACATTATGATTTTGCTAAATCACTTTGACTAGAGAAATCGTCTTGTTATGTAGTTCTTTGATTTTTCGAGTTAAGATCCAAATGGATTATTCTTCATAAATCAAATCTATTCAAATCCTAATTTCCTTTATTGAAATGACATATAAAAGCTCTGGTCAATACTTTCCAAGCATCGATACATGAAAAATATTGTGTACTTTGTCCAACTCTGGATCTCAATTACCTCCATAGTTAATGCTAACTGATAAGCCATCAGTCCAACTCTTTTTAATATCTCATAAGGTCTAATAAATCTTAGACTTATTTTTCATTTGCGTTTTGGGCGCAAAATATTTTTACAATATGATACCTTGAAAAATACTTTATCACCTTCA